CTGGGGTATGGTGGGTGGAGGTGGGGTGGGGTGGGGGCAGGGGCGGGGCAAGTGGGGCTTGCTCCAGAGTGGCAGAAGTAATGTTATTATTACTTTGTAACAAGACTAAAGAGGACTGGGAGGGAGCAGCGGTTGCGGTCCCAGGGGTCGGTTCCTTGCGGGGGTGTTATTTTAGGAGGCGGAAGCGTGTGCCATCATTTGCTTCTGATGCCATCGTTAGCACTGGAGGTGGCGGAGCGTGATCATATGGAGTAGATCAGTAGACACAGGTGGAGTTAGGCAAGAGCGAAAATTAGGAGTGGTGAGAGGGTGTGGAAGAGGAGGTGGTCGTTGCCATTTCCTGAGTTTTTTGTCCTTAGTTTTTGCGTTGTGTTGTATTGTGTTGTGTTGTGTTGCGTTGGGTTGTGATGCGCTCGCTCTGCACACCGCCCGTCACACCATGGGAATTTCATTTGCCCAAAATCGTGTCAAGGATAAACCATGGGTTGCATTTGGGGTGGGGTTGGGGTGGGGTTGGGTGGGGTTGTGTTCTTTGTCACGGGCACCCTGGAAGAAGCAGTGTTTTCTGTCCTGTCCTTCTGTGGGGTGGAAATTGAATCAGCCTCACCCTGGAGGCTGATTACTTCAAGTTCGGGGTGTATATCTGCAACCTTCAGTCACACATTGAAAATCCCCTGGGTCATTGCAGTAATCAGCGAGACTGGCGAGAATATGAAAATGATCTTCTTCTCATTGTGGTGTGCCCACAGTTCATGGCAGACAGGGAGTTTGCTTGGTCCTCCATTGGTTGTGGGATTGGGAAATTGAGGCAGTCGATTGTGTTTGCTATGTGCAGCTTCGTTACATGTGGAATATCCAATGCTCTTTGAGATCACCAATGAGACTGCAACGCGAACGTCTCATTGTGGTGTACTGGAGTTCATTGCAGATGAAGGGATGATCTACATGCCGTATTGGGTAACAGACCGTTAAACCACCCCCCGCTCCAATTACTCCCACTACTCCCATTACTCCCATTGCTCCCATTACTCCCATTACTCCCATAACTCCATTGCTGCTCCCATTTCCCCCACTGCCCCCATTTCTATTCCCATTGCTGCTGCTCCCATTGGCCCCACCATTGTTCGCACCATTGCTCCACCATTGGTCCCACGATTGGTACCACCAGTGTCCCCCCATTGGTCCCACTGGTGTCCCACAATCTGTCCCACCGTTGGTCCCACCATCGTCCTGCCATGGTTTCACTATGGTCCACCATTTGTCCCATTATTGGTGCCACCAGTAGTACGACCATTGGTGCCATTGTTTTCCCAGAATTGGTCCCACCATTGGTCCCACTATGGTCTCACTATGGTCCCACTAGCATTGGTTTCACCTTGGTCCCACCATTGGTCCCACAATCAGTCCCACCATTGGTCTCAACGTTGTCCCACAATCGGGCCCACCATTGGTCCCATCACTTGTGCCACCAGTAGTCCCACCATTGGTCCCACCGTTTTCCCACAATTGGTCCCACCATTGGTCCCACCATGGTCCCACTATGGTCCCACCATGGACCCACCGTTGGGCCCACCATGGGTCCCATTGCCCTGTTCTCTCAAAATGATCATGTTTGCCACCATCAAAGAGACAGTAAAGGTAAGAAACTTAAAGAAGGGGCAAAAACTGTGGATTGGATGTGAACTCTTCTTCGTGGTCGGACTTGTTGAAGGCAGTTTAGCTTTTCAGGGAACCTTGCGGCCTCTAAGGGCAAGTAGACCGTACTACTAGAGACACATCCTTCGCTGCCACTGTTGTCTGAAGGAATGGAACAGTGGCTTGGTGGGTCTTGCCCCACACATGCGTACTCAACCACCAAGGATGTGTCTCGTGTATCACTGCGCTTGGGAGACGTCCTTAGGGGTTTCTGATTACACATGCCTGGGCAGGCAACTGTGCATTTTTCTTGTGTTCTATGATTTGTGAGTTTGTCCCCAGTCCGCCCCCCCCCCCCCCCCCCAGGGAGGGGGAGGGGTTCATCTGATATGTAATTTTAGTGTAAGTGTGTGTCAAGTGGAGGCAGATGTGTCATCATCATCAGCGTCGTTGTTCCATCGTCGTCAGCATCATCATTACCATCACTGTCATGGTCGTCATCGTTATCGCGTAAGCTGTGGTCGTGATGCTTTTCCTGATGATGATTGTGAACCCCCATATGTGGTCGTTGTGTCATCGTCATTGTTATCGGTGTCGTTGCGGCCATTGTCATCAGCATCACTATCCTCGACGTAGCCATCCTCAACATCATTACCGTCATCATTGCCCTCGACATCACAACGTCGACATCATCGTTGTCGTTGCGGCCAGGGAAGGTCCCTTAAAAAAGGAAATAATAGAAAAAAAGAAATCCAAAAAATCGGAGAAAATTTTGAAAAAAAAACTAGGCTACCAGAGTGGCCCGGGACCACTTGCCTGGCCAGGCCCAATTGCCCGGCCGGGCCCAAGAAAAGTAAAAAAGAACATTAGCCTCCTGATGAGTCGGTGAAACTCCGACGAAACAGTTTGTCACAGCCCCTCGTTTGTTGTCCTCTTCTCCCTCTCTGCCTACGGTTTACCGGGCAGTTCTATTTGACGATATATAAGAGAGCTGCCCTGTAAACCGTAGGCAGAGATGGAGAAGAGGACAACAAACGAGGGGCTGTGTGTCGTTGGAGTTTCACTGATCCTTCCTTTATTATTATTTTTTTCTTTGTCTGCTCTGATTTTGTTTTCTGGCTCCCATGCACGTACCCGAACCTCCTGAATGTTTGAATACAAGTACATAGCAGCGCACGGCGAGGTCATTTTCATTCTTTCTTTTATCTTCGGGCCGTCTGATCCACTTTTTTTTTTCCCGGTCGTTTTGTGGGAGGGCCACTGCCAAATGTTTGAATACAAGTACACAGCCCATCCACAATACTCTCCAAATGTGCAAATGAGACTGAATCCCCTCCTAGGACATGGAAAGATAACATTGTTCTGTGCACCACTCGCCATCTGCCAGTCCTGCTGCTCACGGCATGCAGGGAAGACAACAAAATATGGGTGTGTATCTCACCATGTTCCACCTGAAGATTCATGCCATTTTGCGCACGAAGAGGAGTGGGAGGAGGAGGGGCGAGGTGACGAGTGGGAGGGGAATGAGGAGGACGGGGAGAACAGGAGTCCATGATGAGCGACGAACAGGATAAGTGCATGAGGAGCGATGAACAGGGGGAGTACGATGGACCACGAGGAGGAATGCAAGGAAGGGAGGGGGGAAGACGATGAGCAGGAGAAGGGGACGACAAATGGGAGGAGTGGCAGGAGGAGGAGGAAGACGACAGGTGGGAGGAGTAGGAGGAGCGGGAGCAAACGAGTAGGAGGAGGGAGGGGAGGAGGAGGAGGAGGAGGAGCGGGGCCAAACGAGTAGGAGGAGGGAAGGGAGGAGGAGGGGGCAGAGTACGAGGAGGAACCGGAAGAGGAGGCAGACGTCGGGCTTTTCTTTTTTTTGAGAGAGAGATGGGGGGCAGAAAGAAACGCGCCGCGGGGGTAGCGTGGTTGTTTTACTTTCCATGCCCTCGATCCTCCTCTTCCTCCTTCCTGCCCTCCTCCCCTCCATTTCCCTCTTCGCCTCTCCTCCGTCGTCTTGTCCATCCCCTCTGTTGGGCCATGGCGGGTCCACTTGTTTCCGATCAAATGAAAAATAGTGGTATTTCACCTGCACCGTAAAGCTCCCCGCTTATTCTACACCTCTCAAGTCATTGCACAGAATCGAACTACCGTCTTCACCCATACGGTCATTATAGCTGTATTTGGGGCTACTTTGAGTCTAGATACATCAATAATGACCGTACATTGTATTCGGGTGAAGACGGCAGAGTCGAGCTCAACAGGGTCTGCTGCTCTGGTTCTGACATGTCAGATGGTATCCATATGACAACACATACAAGGAATTACAGAAAGAAAAAAAGAAAAAAAGAAGGGGGACGAAGACAAACCCGCAGGCAAGAGCCTGACGCTAATGAAGCCATCTTGGTGTTCGTTTGATCTTCTGGCGAGAATGTACAGATGATGGAGAATCTCGTCTTGCAGGAAGGAGATATTGTGAAGGTGAAAAGTGCCACATTGCCCAGGGGCAGCTATGTCAAGCTACAACCCCACACAAAGGACTTTTTGGATATAACCAATCCGAAGGCTGTGTGAGTTTAACTGTACTCCCTCCTCTATTTATTATGGCCTTGGTCAACAAATCAGCAAATGAGGGTCTTCTTTTTCTTTTTATGATCCCAAACTCCCCTCCCCCCCCCCCCCCCTCTCTTTCCTCCCTCTTGTCCCCCCCAGCCCCGTGCCCCCACAGGGCCTGTGTAGGCACCCACCCCCCCCCGGTCGTTTTAACTGGTATTGGGAATTTGCATGAGACAGCGTCTCTGTAAAGATCATGGGACTCTGGCATAGATGCGGCGCATCGACATGCGCTGCAAAGCGCACATGCACACCCGTTATGCGGCACATGCTGAAAATACAGAGTCCACCAAAAAAAAAAAAGTTTTTTTGGGGGGGTAGGTGTAGGCCCGCTAGGCACTTCGCGCCGCCTGGTACCAAAAAACAAAACAAAAAAACTTCAAGGTCACGGGGGTCCTCTCAAAAAGAAAAAAAAAAGTGGGGAGATCCGAGTAGTTTATTTTTGAACTACTCAGACCTGCCCCACGCCGGCGGGAAGGAGCGGAAGGACGCAGCAGCGGGAGGGGGCGAAGGAAGCAGCCATATCTACGTGGGTTACCACCAGCGCCTCCCTTCCTCTCTCTCTCTCTCTCTCTCTCTCTCTCTCTCTCTCTCTCTCTCTCTCTCTCTCTCTCTCTCTGTGTCTGTGGAAACTGTGCAGCTCCTCCTCGGCCCGCTAGGCACTTCGCGCCGCCTGGTACCAAAAAACAAAAAAAAAAACCTTCAAGGTCACGGGGGTCCTCTCAAAAAGAAAAAAAAAAGTGGGGAGATCCGAGTAATTTATTTTTGAACTACTCAGACCTGCCCCACGCCGGCGGGAAGGAGCGGAAGGATGCAGCAGCGGGAGGGGGCGAAGGAAGCAGCCATATCTACGTGGGTTACCACCAGCCCCTCCCTTCCTCTCTCTTTCTCTCTTTCTCTCTCTCTCTCTCTCTCTCTCTCTCTCTCTCTCTCTCTCTCTCTCTCTCTCTCTCTCTCTCTTCCCCCCCCTCCTCCTCATGCTCCTGCTTGCTTCTTGCTTCTTGCTTCTTGCTTCTTGCTTCTTCGTCGGTCCTGGCATGCATTCCCCACATGTTCATCATCATCATTCCCACTCCATCCCTCCCACATATGATCCCCCCCCTTTACTCGTCCCAGCCCTCCAAAATCATCCTTCCCTCTCTGAGAGGACTGCAGAAGTCAGCTCCTGGGAAGCCCGATTCTGTCATGTCATTTTGGGGGCTCTGCACCTCTGCATCTCTGCCCTGCTGCCAGTTTCTGCAGCAAATGACCCAGTTTGTCTGTAGTCGGCAACTGCTGACTGGTTGGCATTGACTGGTCTGGCCTAAATGGCTGGCAGTCGCTTAGGCAACCCTGCTCGTCGGTGTATGTTTCAATTGGCTGAATGGGAATTGACTCAATCTACCGGCCAAGTGGAATCTGATATACGTCCAGGAAGTGTTTGTGATGAGACATTGAGACTGTGATTTCAAGTCGAGGGCAAAACCATAGCAGATATAGAGGGGATTAGTTTTGTGACTTAGTCAAAATGGTGACATCTTGAGAAGAGATATGCATGCACATTGCACAGAGTCACAGACAAATACATCCACTTATGAGACACTGTGTGCCAGGTCAGGAGTGGAGTCAGTCCACTATCTCTGCGGCCCACGGTTCGCGGTACACACCCAGTTAGGACACACTGCCTGGTCTGAGCTATCCATTTTTTTTTTTATTTTTTTTTTTGATAAGCCCTCGGACAAGCCAACTATCCCGATGGTGGTGGAAGAACCATCGGGATTGGAGGCTGGTCTGAGCTATCCTGATTGGTTCAAGTGACACCATCATGGGTTAGGCTTGGCCCTTGGGTGAAAAAACACCCTTATGGTTTTCCATGACTGTCGTCATCTCCATCATGGGTTAGGCTTGGCCCTTGGGTGAAAAAACACCCTTATGGTTTTCCATGACTGTCGTCATCTCAACAGAACGCCCGGTCATTATTTCTGTATCTACTATCTAGACTGAACGTTGCACTAAGTACAGAGATAACGACAGGGTGTCTATTCGGGTGTGAAAGACTGTAGTTTGGTTCTCATGGACACTGATTTCGTGAAAGATCCCCAGACCCTCTGACTGCTTACCATTTAACTGGTTAGTGGATATGAACAGCGAAGTTACTTTTTTCAGTTTTCGTCACTTTTTGACACTTTTTGAAGTTTTTGTTCCTTTTTTGTTTGTAACTTTGTGCTTCTATGAAGCATTAGAATTTTGAATGCCATATTTAATAGCAGAGATGTCTTTCTGATCCCCTTCTTGCAGATTGTTCGCATGAGGAGGCTGAACGTGAGGAGAGACTCTGATTCGATCCGGGTGCAGCAGCATCTGCACGGCGTCAAGGTTGGCACGTTAAGGGTATGGCGAACAGAGGGGTGTGGCGGCTGCGGCGGATAGTAACTGATCTCTGCGATCACTCTGAAGGCAGCATAAGGTCAGGAACACCGAACTTGGTCGACTGGAATCTTCCGTTCAACTTCTCTTGCATTTTATTTTGCGGAGTGTCATCTGCACTCGCATAGATTCAGCTTTCGATTTGTCTCGGAATGTGGCCGGACGTTGCATTCCTTCGGACGATGTGGGTCGCGAGTCGTGACCGATTGGCCTTTATCGTCTTTTTTTCTCCTTCTTTGAATGTGGTCCTCTGTTGAGTGGTCGCCAAGTATCTCATTGGGAGGGGGGTCTCTGCTATACATAGTGCCAAAGTACTACAAAGTAGTACGAACACTCATTTCCGCGAAGAATTGCCCACCTCTTTTCTTGTTCTAACTTATTGAGTGCTACAGATCAGGGAACATAATCATCTGTCATTCCTTTTTTGGTAACTCCTCTTGTGTCTGTTATTCCCATCATGCTTGCACAGACAAATTCTTTCTATGGGGAATGTGGGGACGAGGACATGCGTTGAGGAGTCGTGCGCCATTGTTTTTTTTTTTTTTCGACTGTATGCAGAAGGGTGTGAACTGCTATGACCTTCGAGCCACAGATCAACACATCCAACATCCCTCTGTGTTCTCACCTATGGATCGTATCTCCAAGTGGAAGTGATCGGAACATATCACACTTGTGGTGTGGGTCGTGTGGAGTGTCGTCGTGATCTTATGCGATGCGATGTGGTTATGCTGGGAGAGTAGCATGGAGGAGAAGGTTATGAGATGTGGTCATGCTGTGGGAGTAAACCTGTAACTACTTGTGCAGTTGCACTTATGTTTCTTTTTTTGATATTTTTAGAAGGTGTGTGCTATGTGTCCAAACTTCCAAAGTTTGAGGGTGTGTATTGTTACAGTAGTGCATTCATTTTTTCTTTTTTTAAAAGTTTTAATAAAATATTGTATGCGGAGCAACTGGTGTGGGCATGGTGCATCCAAAGGTTTATATCTTAAAGTAAGCAAGGAGTTTGGCAAGTCCACTGCGATGGCGAATGAACAGCAGATTGCGGAGTTGATGACAACTTGGAACTCTGAGCTCGACTTTATATATATATATATGACGATATATATATATATATATATATATATATATATAGTTCTTACGGCTGCATATTTCGGTCCGCCTACAGACTCTCTCTCTCTCTCTCTCTCTCTCTCTCTCTCTCTCTCTCTCTCTCTCTCTCTCTCTCTNAATGTATCTGGCCGCATTCACGGCCATACCTGGATGTATCTGGCCGCAGTTCTGTCCAAAAATATGTAAAAAAGTCGTAGTGTGAGTATTCCCTGCATTTCACAACTCGGGAGGTCTTTTAAATAAACCACAAGTATTCTGGAGCCGTCTGCATGCCTGTGATTGTTTTTTTTTTCGCATTATAATTTTATTAAATTATGAAATTATTCAAATTAAAGAATATGCTATTTAGTATTTAGTAGTTACTATTTTAGGAATGATATTTTTAACCGGCCACAGGCTGGCAGGTAAAACAGAGAATGTGGACGAGAATTCATTTGTGCAAAACTGGAGGGCGCAATTTGATTGGCAGCGTGAGGGCCTGCTCACACTTGGGACTTTTTCGACTCAGCTCCGGTTGTGATTGCGGCCAGATGCATCCAGCTCCAGGCGTAATTGGGGTCAGATTCATTCAGAAAAGTGCTTGTCTGAGCATGAGTATGGCCTGAAACAGACTATCTGAACTATACACATCTATACTATTCTATAGTCTTCAGACTCTTTGCTATGATCCTATCTCATAGATAGATAAGTTTGAATAAGGGTTGATTCGACTTGATTCATGCTCCCACCCAACATCAAAGCGCCACGCGGCAAAAGCTACAAGAAGAGCGCTTTGCACGCAGCAAAGAAAAGTGCCGCATTCAGACTGATACTAGAGTGGCAGGAGGCCAGGACAATGGGCCTTGTGCTGCTACTCACCAAATGCGCAAAATGAGAACGAATCTTCCACTAGAATCTGGAAAGATACACGGCCATGATTTTTGTCTCTTGTGCTTGTCAACAGTAGTGGAGCAAGGCCCAATGAATGGGGGGGGAAAGGTATCATCACTTGTTGTTGTTTGCGTTGGGTGGGTGGGGGAAGGGGGGGGACGAAAGAGGGGAAGGAGCAGAGAGAGGGGTAGCCGGGGGGGTGCAATCATCCCTTACCCCTCATGGAGGGTAGGTGGGATCTGGGAACAACTGAACTGTCGATGGGGAGAACTGAACCTTTTATATATTTTTTTCCTGTTGCGTGTTTTTTGCATGTTCGTGCTTTCTCGTTCGTGCCCCTGTTGCATGTTGCGTCTTTGCGTTTGCTGTCTGCCTTCTTTTGTCGTATTCCAGTCTGGAAAAGACTTTGCGAAACTTTTCGTGTCTGACAACAGGCGACGTGACAATGTTTTTTTACAACAACAAGAAGTACTACATAGATATTGTGGAGACAAGGCCAGGGAATGCCATCTCAATTATCGAAACGGATTGCGAGGTGGATTTTGCGCCTCCTCTCGACTACAAAGAGCCTGAACGAATTCCGAAGCCACCTCCCGCTGCTCCTGCCCCAGTTGCTGAACCTCCAGGTATATAGCACAATCTCCACCCTTTTCTTTTCTTTTTCAATCTTTGAGAGGGCTTTATGGTATCGTCTCCGCTCTGTATTACAAAAAGTCGACATGTTCTCTTCTCTCGCCCCCGTGTAGAGTCCAAGCCGGTGCTGTGTGAGGAAGGGGGAGGAGGAGGCTGGTGGACCTGCAGTTCATGTAAGTCAAAATTCTCACTTGTGAATCGATTGTGCATGTGTGTGTCTCTGTTTGTGTGTGTGTGTGTGTGTGTGTGTGTGTGTGTGTGTGTGTGTGTGTGTGTGTGAGAGAGAGAGAGAGAGAGAGAGAGAGAGAGAGAGAGAGAGAGAGAGAGAGAGAGAGAGAGGATTAAACCTTGTTTTCGGTTTCCTCTTTTGTTTAAATAAATAAATAAATGACGTAGTTCCTGCTCGACACGTGATTCGTAGTAAAACTCTTTGCTGTCACGTCCGCATGCGTCATCAATGAAGAGTCCCATCCTGCACCACGGGCGTGACGATACAGGAAAGGGGGGGCAAAGCTGTGCATATTTATGAAATTATGATGCTCTGGTTGTTGGCTGTGTTACCAACCCGTCAGCCCGGGTCAAGTTGGTTGCTGCCCAGGCCGGCTCGGCTGGGGCCAAGGAAGGTCCTTGCCAAAAAAAAAAAAAAAAAAAAATGAAAAAAAAAAAAACACTATGTTGTGCAGAAACATAAAAGTCGATAAAACTGGACAACTTTTGCCTCAGGGTTACATTGAAATTCTCCGCCAATTCTATTTTATTTTTAAGTTAAAAATATATATATATGTGACAATATAATAATATATAACTCCGACGAAACAGTTTGTCACAGCCCCTCGTTTGTTGTCCTCTTCTCTCTCTCTGCCTACGGTTTACCGGGCAGTTCTATTTGTGACGATATATATCGTCAATTGTCACAGCCCCTCGTTTGTTGTCCTCTTCTCCCCTCTCTGCCTACAGTTTACCGGACAGATCTGTTTGACTATATATATATCGCCAATATGGGTTCAGCCTCCTGATGAGTCGGTGAAACTCCGACGAAACAGTTTGTCACAGCCCATCGTTTGTTGTCCTCTTCTCTCTCTCTTCCTACGGTTTACCTACCGGGCAGTTCTGTTTGTGACGATATATGTGACGATATATAGATATTATATATTTTTTCCCTTGGCCCGAGCACTGGTGGAAACAAAAGTAACTGGACTGATGCTCCTCCCCAAAATAGATAAATTACCGGGGGGGGGGGGGGGGAGGAAACTCGGTCAATGTCGCAATCTTGCAACCCCTTCTGAGAAGCATAGCAATGATAGCATACATGCAAGCACGCCCATAGGAAGCTGCATGTGTGTGAGGTGAGCGCACAGGGCGTATTATGCAAACCTCTGTCAAAGTGGAAAAGGCACGAGCGTACGGAGACACAGGTCCCGAACTCTGGACGGTTCGGATCCCTGTGCGGAGGTCCGGATTGGTGCTATGCCACAGACGTGCATGGAGACACGGACAAGGGCATGAACACAGACGCGTGGATATTGCCGAGAACACATTCATCTCTTGCTTTTTTAGTTGTTTAAAAAGAGAAGAAAAACACCACTACCTTTCCCATACATCGGCGATGGGCGAGGCCCCGAGGGAGTTTCAGAGGCTGGAAATGCAACACCCAGGCCGCCGATGAAGTTTATTAGCAGCGGCTGCCGTTGGGGCGAGCACCTGAAGAATGCAGAATAGGTTATATCCCCCACTTTTCCCAACAGTGTGAAAGGTCGTGGTGGTTTAAGCCGCTAGTACACGGCCCCAGCCTTGCAGAAAGTTTTTGTGGCCACAAGCAAAAATCGGAGGCGCCGTGCGGCCAGTCCCGCCGTTGAAAAAAAAAAATCGGCAGCCTCCGAAGTGGTGTGGGTTTCATGCTGACACCCGCGGGCCGATATGTGGTGTACCCCAGTACAAAGGGGCCTGCAGGTGCCTTACTGCACACCAAGCTTTTCCAAACCGTCAGCGGCGTACTTTTTTTTGTTTGTTTGTTTGGCTTCTGCCGCCAGCCATTGGGGTGCAGTAGGCCGAGCCTCCGAAATTTTCGCAGGCGACAAGTTCTTTTTTTCAGCAAGGCTGGGGCCGTGTACTGGCGGTGTAAGAGCACATTCTTCTCCGTCGCAGGGGAGTTAAAAAAAAAAAAAAAAAAAAACCACCATTAGTGCAGAGTCTGCAGACAGACTCACAGCTCACGGAGCAATGGGCACATCGGAGACATGCACGTCCGCACAGAGAGAGAGTTCACTGCTCCCCTCAAGTTAATTGGACTTAACCGTGGTCATCCCATGTAGCAGAACGCCGTTGTGTGCGGTAACAATTTGCAAGGGAGTGGCGTATTAACTGGACTTAACAGGGGTAGTACACGTCATCCCAGGACTTAAAAGGGGTAGTACACATCATTCCAGGACTTAAAAGGGGTAGTGCACATCATCCCAGGACTTAAAAGGGGTAGTACACATCATGCCATGTAGCAGAACGTCGTTGTGTCAGGTCAACAAATCGCAGACATGAACGTGCGCACGAGAGAGTGGCTTATTAACGAACTTGTGGGGGGTTGGTTGCGCGTTGTTGATGTGTTTCAGAGGCGAAGGAAGAACCAGAAGAACCCAAGTTCAGTGCGTTTACAGGGGTAGGCAGGCGGCTGGACGGTAAAGTCTCGGCTACTCCAGTGAGCCCGCTTTCTCAAGCCCGTGCAGCGTCGTTGTCGGGGGCAGGACCCTCTGGCGCCTCAGCCGCCTCAGGCGGTTCCTCCGCAGCAGGAGCATCCGGCGGGACTGGGAACAGTTCCGCTGGAACCGGTCCCGCTTCTCAAGCCACTGGCCCGCCAACCATCAAGCGGCCGCCGGGAAAACTCGTTTTCGGAAGCAGCAACGCTGCAAAGAAGGTAGGGGCCAATATAACATGCAACAGGCATACAGGCATATGTATTATACTATTATGTATTATGTAAGGCATACATGTGTTTCATTTTGTGTTTGTTTTTCCGTCCGTTCCATCTGGATTCGAACACAGGTCAGTATTTCAACAAATTCATAACTTCCTGTGTGTACCAACGGGCATATGGTATATGTAAGAGGGACATGGATTCCAACAGGAGCAAAAATAAATAAGGGAAAACTTGGGAAAAGTTGGTGGAAAACCCAAAATTTCTTAAAACGTTTTTGAATTTTTTTCTCTTCCAGAAGTTCTTTTTCGCTGCGGCAAAAAACTTTGAGAAAATGCGTGCTGACTCTGTTGAGTATGGGTGAAGTCGCGAGCTTGTAGCCATTGCAAAAAAATCCACGTTGTGGGCCAGTGGCATCATAACACCGTTTCTTTTTTCTTTTTCTTTTTTTCTTTTTTTGTGTTTCTTTAGTACTGTTTAGTAGTGTCTACCATTGTTCCACCTTTCAACTTTCGTTTTTTTTTTTTTTTTTTTTTTTTTTTTTGGTGTTTGTATGTGCAGTTGAAGATCTTCCAATCGGATGCGCTATCGATGTTTTGCAGTCTTTGCATTTTTCGAGGATGCGCTATCGGCTTGAATCTATTTGAGGGCTGTGCTGTAACTGACAAGTTGTTGAGATGACAGCATCTGCGATGGCTGCCTGTAGAGCCGTGCTCTTTTCTTAGCAATCTTTTTTTTTCCCCTTTTTTTCCCGTTGAGCGGAGTTGTTTGTTGCGGCAGCAACAACGCCCACGGCAAGAGGGTCGGTGTGAACGGCGGGCAGGCCAAGTTAACAGGGGCGCATCTCTCACGTTATCGGCATGATCACATGAAGGGAAATGCTGTTGGATTAAAAAAAAGAAACTCTGAGTGCAATCAGACTCGACTTCTTCACACTTGTCTTGCATGCAAACAGCGAAACAGCAAACTGGCGACATGCGCCCACACAGTACTCAAAGATATCGTAACCAGATATGAGTTCTCTTCCCACTGGCTATGGCGACTGTGCGCCCRTACAACTCACTGTTCATACTCGAGATCACCCTGGATGTCCCACACGCACACTCAGTGTTCATACCCAACACACACACACAGTACACACACTCTGCACTCTACACTGAGCTATGGCAGCTATGGCTGCCGCTACCTATTGCTATGGCTACAGTGCTTCACTCTTGCCCCCTTCGTCTTCGGGCCTCCAGCAGACCTCCTTGCACTAGACGCTGTGGCAGCGCTACC